GGAAACGAACACCAAACAAGAGATTCAAGAATCCCATTAGCCCTAAGCACTTTCATTCTCATCAAATCCCATTAACTTGTTCCATTTCCTTTCAGGAACAAAAAAAGAAAGAAGTTAAGAGAAAGAGAAACGTCCTGCTTCACAGGCGGAGGGTTAGATCAATATCGGCAGAAGAATGATCCACATCCGCGGTAGGGGAGTGAGCGTCGGGAGTAGTCGAAACGCCCAGAAAACTCTGATGAGGGACCGAGCTGGAAGGAAGGTGCTGCCGCGGCTGGATGGGTTTCGGCCACACGTTAACAAACCTGGCTGCACCCGCGGTAGGGTCCATGCCCGGAGAGTGGGGAAATGGTATTGATGAGGTGTGTTGTTGATGTTGATCGGCAGGGAACAGAGCAGGTGGATGGTATCGCTGCTGGTGGGTGGCCGGAAGGTTTCCCTGAGCTGCTTGCTTGTGTTTGTGAGCGTTCTGGTGCCCGCCGAGCGCTTGAGGGGAGTCAAAGAGCCTGGAGCAATGGGGACAACGAAATAGCGGAGATGAGGTTATGGGCAGCTGGATGTGTTCCGGCCACACGTTAAAACACACAGCTGCTTGGTATTGCTGCTGATGAGTGGCCGGAAAGTTTCGATGAGCTGCTCGCTCGTGTTTGTGAGCGTTCTGATGCCCGCCGAGCGCTTGAGGGGAGTCAAACAGCCGGGGGCAGTGGGGACAAGGAAATCGCGGAGATAAGGTGATGGACGGAGCTGCTGCATGGCTGGTGGGTTTTGCACCCGAAGGCAGGTTGTTCCTTGAGCGGTCTGCCATGTTGAAAGTTGCAGATGGGGGAGGAGGAGGAGGAGACGTGGGTTGGGAAATTTGGTTGGGTGGGTTATTTATAGTTGGCACTGAAATTTGAATTTTCGTTTCATTTCATTTGCATTTGCATTTTGAGTTTTTAGATCCCGCCGTCCGTCCGATTGCCAGAGTGATTCACGTCCGTCGGATTTCAAAGTTTGACAATGACATTTATAGATCCAGTGATGATTTTGGCTTTATAAAATCCAAAATCACTGGATTTATAGACGCACAATATGAATTGGGTCACTAAAGTTTATGTTGATAAATGGGTTAATTAAGGGGTTTGGGAAATATTGAGGGGGAGACAGGAAAAAGCTTTGAAGTGGGTAAAATTAATGAATAACATGATTTTGTTTCTTTGGATTTCACTGTAGATTGATTGACAGTTCATACAAAAAACTTAAGTATGATTACATTATACCAAAGACTTTGAATAAAATTCACATTGCTGGAAAAGTAATAAACTTTCATCTAATAAAAAGTTTATGAAAGTTTATTAAATGAAAACTTTCTATCTTTCATTCCCTTTTAATAAACTTTTTATTCACATTGCTGGAAAAGTTTTCTAAAGAGGATGAAAGATTTTTAGTGCATATATTGACGATGACATTTAGTGCAGCTGTGCTCGATATATGATAGAGCACCTCTGCATCATCGCCAAACTTTGAAATCCGACGGACGTGAATCACTCTGGCAATCGGACGAACGGCGGGATTTAAAAACTCAAAATGCAAATGCAAATGAAATGAAACGAAAATTCAAATTTCAGTGCCAACTATAAATAACCCACCGTACCCAACCAAATTTCCCAACCACGTCTCCTCCTCCTCCCCTACCTGCAACTTTCAACATGGCAGACCGCTCAAGGAGCAACCTGCCTTCTGGTGCAAAACCCACCAGCCATGCAGCAGCTCCGTCCATCACCTTATCTCCGCGATTTCCTTGTCCCCACTGCCCCCGGCTGTTTGACTCCCCTCAAGCGCTCGGCGGGCATCAGAACGCTCACAAACACGAGCGAGCAGCTCATCGAAACTTTCCGGCCACTCATCAGCAGCAATACCAAGCAGCTGTGTGTTTTAACGTGTGGCCGGAACACATCCAGCCGCCCATAACCTCATCTCCGCTATTTCGTTGTCCCCACTGCTCCAGGCTCTTTGACTCCCCTCAAGCGCTCGGCGGGCACCAGAACGCTCACAAACACAAGCAAGCAGCTCAGCGAAACCTTCCGGCCACCCACCAGCAGCGATACCATCCACCTGCTCTGTTCCCTGCTGATCAACATCAACAACACACCTCATCGATACCATTTCCCCACTCTCCGGGCATGGACCATACCGCGGATGCTGCCAGGTTTGTTAACGTGTGGCCGGAACCCATCCAGCCGCGGCAGCACCTTCCTTCCAGCTCGGCCCCTCATCAGAGTTTTCTGGGCGTTTCGACTACTCCCGACACTCTCTCCCCTACCGCGGATGTGGATGATTCTTCTGCCGATATTGATCTAACCCTCCGCCTGTGAAGCAGGACGTTTCTCTTTCTCTTAACTTCTTTCTTTTTTTGTTCCTGAAAGGAAATGGAACAAGTTAATGGGATTTGATGAGAATGAAAGTGCTTAGGGCTAATGGGATTCTTGAACCTCTTGTTTGGTGTTCGTTTCCATATGTTTATGGGGTTTCAACTTTTTTTTTTTTTTTCCCTCATCTTACCAAGTGTAAAGTGAAGGATGATGATGATGTATGTTAGTTCCCTCAGCTTTGTTCTAATATATCAAAGTAGTAATTAAGTAGCATTTTATGATATATAGATTGCAGGATCTTGATTATTTCTTCTTTCTCGGTCTGCCGTATTTCAAACCTGCGGATTCCAACTTCTCTCTTGATTTCTATTTTTCTTTCGTTTTTGTTGAAGGAACGAAATAATAAAAATAAAAAATTATGAGTACTTTTTGACAGTTTTATTAATCAAATGGGTTTTTGAGTTGGATGATGAAAGTTTGTTATTATTATTATTATTTTTTGAAAAACATGAGAAAAGAAAAATAAATATGGACAATTTGCCCCATCAACGGAAGAAGGTTTTTTTTTTTTTTTTTAAACAGTTGGATATTTTCAAGTTAGTTTTCACATACGATAAGATTAATTTCTTTTTGATACAATAAAAAACATGCCATTTATATCGCAACTAAGAAATTCATTAGAAGTTACTCCTTTAACCTCTTTAAAAAATCAAATTTTACTCAACAAGTCGGCATAATTGCAACTATGTTCATTGAAATATGACAAATGAACACATCTATTTGCATTAAGAGAATAATAGGCATTATAGTTAGTGTAGTTCATAATGACCTTAATTTTACCATATGACCTTGCCCTAACAATAGCACAACCATGTATATAGATGACATACTATAATCTCTACCGACAAGAGCGTAGCCAATACATTATTTATTTTAAATTTGATCAAATATAAGTATATCATCATTTACATTTCATATCTCCACTTTTACACATAGATTTCAAATTTTCTTTTTCTTTTTTTCTTTTTTTGAACGTGTAGGGCACATGTTTAAGTACAAATTTTTTTAATATTAATTGGCTTTAAAAGATTAGAGTTGATCTTTATTTAATCACTTAACTAATTAAAATAATCTATAATTAAAATAAGCTATGACTTTTTTTATTATTTTCAATACAAATTAATATCAGAAGGATGTATAACTACATGTTAATGGCACAAATTGAAAAAATCCTTCAAATTGTTATTTATAATTTATGAAAAACTATCTCAAGTCACTCTAAACAACCTCAAATCAAATCTTAGCAATGCCTAAAAGTAATTTAGTCCTCAATTGCCATAAGTTACCTTAGATTTGAGGTGACATGTAGTGTCATAAATTTTTTATTTAATACTTTTACAAACTCAAATATAGAAAGGCTATAGCTAGACCAAAAAGACTGAAATTTACTAATGACCTTTTTTTCAGAGTTAAAATATAATTATTTTTATAGCTGTATCATATAATTTCTAGAAGAAATTATGCGTATTACAAACAAAAAAATGATGCATATTAAAGTTTTAATCGGTATCAAGTTATACAAATACTTGTTAAGTTACTCCTAGGGGATTCAACACCACTCAATAACAAGATTGATTAAAGGTCACAGGAAGGAGCTTGAGAGTTGGAACCATGTGTGGCCTGGTGCATTAGCCGGCGTACAATATTCCTGTATGGATCTTCTTCTCTTTTCTGCTTCAGGTAAGCAATGCATCTATGTAAATACAGTTGATAACATTTCTCCCTATCTTTCAGTTCTTGCTTTCTTCCTTTTATAAAATAAAACCAAACAAACAGTTTTTAACGTTTCAATTAAAGCCAGCCATGAGCCAAACCATAAATAAAAAAAAAATTACTCCATAAATTAATGTAAACAGACTATACATGTAAATACCTTGGGTTTCAATTGGTTTCCCAAAATAAAAATAATATATTCCTGGAAACCTTGGTGCCAGTCATGGTTGGTAAAGTTGTTGGTTTGACACCTCGCCATCTCCTTCATTCCTATCATTTCAAGATTACAGAAAGCTCATCAAATGGACATTGATTGCATTTTGTAATTTAAGACTCGATCAAAATATATACCTCAATAACACAGGCTCTTCTGTCAAATCTTCTATAAAATCTCTAAAGTAAGGTATCTTCGTTTGATCACTATAATGAAAAATTACTTCAGCAAAATCATCTGCTCCAACAACACCAAATGCTACTATTTTGGCTCCAAATCTAGCAGCCATCCTCACAAAGCCTCGGACTTTTCTGGTCAAAATAACTTGTATGCTAGCTTCACCTTGGAAAAATTAATTAATCAATCTGCCTAGCTACCTAGAGTTGAGTTATCACAGCTGCACAATACTATAGCTAAATATTCAATATGTTACCTTCCTGTGAAGAGCCTCGCCCACCCCTCCAGGGAACAACAGGCTATGAGATTTTGAAGACATAAGCTTGTAGAAATTTGTTCCTGAAACAGGAACTGCCCCCATTAATCATATTGAGTCAAAGGTTGATACATCAGGTAACCTGCCTTCTCTCAATCTTTCAAACAGCAATGGATGTGCTATCCCTCGCAAGAGGATATTTCTCTGAGTAAGAAATTCAGATACCAAGGAAATAACTTCTGGTCCCAGTAACATGTGATAACCAATGTAAAGGACGGGTCCCTCCAATGGAACCCCGGCAAGGCCGTTCACCACCTTCCCATCCTGGGTAGTTGAGAGCATCACAGAGCTAAGAGCAGCATTTAACCATCTATCTAGGAACAAAGTCAGTTGAGAAATCCAGAATCAAGACTTATATGTGATGGCACTGCAATTTAATTAAACATATATAAAATTCCTATGGTGAGCATGATAAGTGTCAGGTTTTACTGTCATCAATATTCCACTAATTAATCTTTGACCTAATATGCTCTTTTCTTGACATAACAATAAGCTCTTGTTATTCTGCACCCTCCTCATGACAGAATACAACTGGTATGTCTCTAGCCTTTTGGTACATGATTGACATTTGCTTTGTCCAACGATGCTTACCTATTTGATTCATATAACTTCTAGAATTCAGGAGGTGTAGGTGGCACGTAATCTGACAACAGTCATGGTATTTTCCACAATGATAGAAGCTAGTTCCCTCGATGATTGTTACCAAATCAATACCACCTTCCTGCATGAGAGGCCAAAGTAACTATTTTATAACATCACAAAACCTTATAATCTAAGATGACAACTAGAGTAAAAATTAGGACATAAAAGGGAAAAAAGTGAAACTTCAGATGCTCAAAAGAACACCCTCCTCCTCTCAAGACCTACAGTTTGAGAGAGACATACCAGGAAGAAAAAATGGTGGCTTTCATCAAACTTACTAATCTCACAATTTGGGAGTGCATGGCATAGTCTTTCACCTTCTTCTTCACTAGGAAACAATTGATCTCTTCCACTAGAAAACAAATGGTTAATTCAACCAAAGATGATTATGAGGATCATAAACTTCAAATTTGGACCATCAACTTTGTTGTAGTGCTGCCCTAAACAGATGGCATTATAAGTTACATTACATTCGTCTGAATTACAAGATGCTCTTCAACATAGTTTGTGACAGTGCACATATTTAGGACTGTGATGATAAAAACTGCAAGTAAATATCTTTTCTCTCATTGCAACAATAGAGAAGTAGGCATTATGCATTTAGGTTATGAAGAAATATTTTTCAATCTTTCTTTGTTTATAATCTTTGATTCTGCCATTTTCAGTTGACTGCTTCTTTCAATAATTTTGTTTTCCTAACTTCATTTTTCTGTTTGGTGCATTAGCCACTAAATAGGAGAACCTCGAGTTTAGACAAAGCCATTTAATATTGATCAATAGGTCTTCAAAACTGAAAGTGAAATCAACAAGTTACCTGCAAAGTAATAGCACTTCAGCTTTTGTGGCATGGAGACGAGAGTTGGAATATGCAGAAGCAGATTTCAGCCTTTGTAGCTTCCATTCGAGCAATTCTTTGGGTAAGATTTCAACCAGAACCTGTGACTTAAAATCATCATTTATCTTTCTACAATTTGCAGCATGTAAATGAAAATCAGAATTTCTTCTTAATATGAACCAAAGAAAGATGTGTAATGCACCCTAAAACACAGGAAAAGAGGTATATATGCTGATTTGCATTTACAGAGAGGTTAGATGATGCAGCAACAATATCCTGTGACAGCTTTCCAACAACAGATTGTCCCAGAGGAATGCCCTTCACTACATTATCCATCAGCATCCTCAAATGGTCACCTAAAGAAATGATTGACAACTATAAAAGTTAGAAACTGCAATTAATACAACAATTCAGACAGCATAGCCACCTACGTTTAAGACATACTTCTCTTAAGATGCAAATAACAAGCCAAGAAAACAGAAGTTGAAGACCAAGGCAGCAAACCTGTGGTTAAGCTCAACATGGAATTTCTTGCCAAAAGAAAGAATTCATCTGGAATACTTTGTAGTAAAGGTAGAAGAGGTTTCAGTTGTGACTTGCCAAAAGATGTAGCTGTGAATACAAAAATTCAAACCATGAATTACATATGATCAAAAGGACTAAAGACTAAAACTGACCGAGTGTCATCGACAATGACAGCCATCTTGGCTTGATACAAAGGCAAGTAAAGCATTTTTGCAAAGAAGGATCTACATCTACGAAAGGCACAGCAGTTTTGGTAAACCAATTGTTTGGCAACTGATTCCATTTATAACTTTTAGGAAGGAAATTATAATAGCACACTTGTTAATATTGCAAAAATATAATTACGACGTCAAGGAATGCTGTTTGTAAAGAATTACAACAAATCTAGCCCTTACCTGGGTTAGACAAGATAAGTAGGAGATCAATATCAGGGTTACGGTTTGAAACAGCTAAGGCAAGGCATCCTCCAAGGGATTCCCCAACAAGATACATTGGTCTATTTGGTGACCTGGAGTACCCTGACCTAACTGTACTTTCAACACGCTGCGCTACGCCTGAATCCCATAAGAAACACAGAAAATTAAAACCAAAATTTGTATTAACAAACATCTTACCGTACATGTACTTACTCCACAACTAATCATCATTGGACACCTGGAAAAGATGTCCTGTCCTTGACTAGAATATGCAAGCACCAAATGTCAAAGATCCTTCATTTCATTTAAGGAAAACATTAGTAAGCACAGAACTAGCTGATCAACAAGTGTGAAGTCCAAATTAAAACAAAATCCTAATCCTAAATTAAAACTAATTTAAGAAAATAAATACATCTACCAGTAGACGAATTCAGGAGCTAAAATTTCTGCTTACTTTCCTAATTTCTGGTGATGCATTAGAAGCCCAAGT